ATAATGAAATAATTTGTAGTTGCAGCCCCAATGGCAAAACATAGACACTGAATATCAGTTTAGTAAGAACTTACATGCTCTCACAAAACTTTTTCTGCACACTTGGCCTCTCTTGGTTTCGACGGACCCGAAACCATCGCTGAATTTTCCGTTCATCCCAGTCCATCTGCTTAGAGAGTCCCTCCAATGTCCTCGTGTCTGGACACTAAAGACGGAACAAATAGAAATGACTTGCTTTCCATAGTCTCTCTTCAACTCTCAAAAACACCACAACACCAGGTATGATTGTCACACTGCTTGAAATGATTGACTACCCATATCATTATGTCTGTGTTGGTTTATGTCAGTGCAGTAACTTTTACTATTCCAGCATGCAGAATAACATTTAGTGGACTACAGAACAAGTAAGGGCTTTATGTACCGCTTTGGACTGAAACACCTTCTCCAGGACAGCATTGGGCTGAGCTTGTCGAGGCACTCCCGCCTGAATCTGAAGTATTTGGGCACAGGGTTTGGCCACTAGCCTGTAAATACACAGACGGAGGCAAAAAAAAGTGAGAGGGAGGGGGACACAGAGACGGTGAAGTATTAAGAGAGACATAAACAAGGAGAGAGTCAGTGGGATAAGTTAAGCACGTTGTACTGGTTCGAACAGATGAACCATTAGCTAGGATTGTCTGAAGGGCTCCCTCATTGACTTGAACTGTTGAGCTTGCAGTTTGCTTACAAAGTAATGATGGACTTTGTCTAGGGAGGGGAAGAGGGTACAATAGAGTCTGTAGGAAGACACAGGCAAGCGTTAGGAGGAATTCTGGGGAATGTAGCACCTAGTCTAAACAGAGCATGATGACCACCGTCATGTGAGGGAAAGGAAGGACTGCCCCTTACCACCAAATTAATGGGTGCCACATGACCTTATGAGTTGACCAGTGTTCATGCTCAGACTCAGCTATTAATTTCAATCTCCCAACAACCCACATTTATCTAGAAAGTTTTCCTAACTTTGAAAAATACTGAATGAATAGAAGTAAAGACTGAGTTTAGGGCCTGCCCTTTCATTTTACTCTGAAAGAAAACCATGCATAACCCCTAATTTAGTTGAACTTTCCTGTAAAACGTATTGACTTTCTGTGCAAGGAAGACTGATATGTATGCAGTACAGAACAGTTTCAAAAGTATCTAACCCAGCCTCAGTTTCCAATGATCACAAGTAAATACACTTAATGAACTATTTCATGCCAGTTCTTTTAATCTTTTTTAAATAACCTTACTATCATAGGTGTTTTGCTGAGCAAGATAAACGTGTGTTTCAAGTCATTGGAGTTATTTCATGTGTCATCACCTCAAAAAGGAATGCTTAAACTGTTATTAGGAGGCTAAGGCAAAACCAACAACAGGAGAGAAGTAGCATTAGCAAGTATCTTTCACATGGACAGGCAGAAGCTAAAGCAGTCCCCATCTATGAAGTCAATTTAATTAAAATTGGTTTGTCTAACGTCATAGTAACCACATTGTGTGTGGGTGTTTTTGTAATAGCATCGGCACAGGATTTTTATTGAAGCATCCAGAGTTGATTCTCTAGTTTACTGAAAGTTTGCATACAGAAGGAATTACTCATATATTAAGATTATTGCAATGAGTTTGGTAGCTTGTTTTTATTCCTGTATTTTGGAGCAACAGTTGCCACATAGGCTGAAATCCCCCGAAATGTGCAGCCAGGCACACAGAGCACACATTCACATAAAAATAACGTTACCTAAATATAACAAAAACAAAGGTAAAAGGGTGCGGTTTACCTTTCAAAAAGCATTCTTAGTAGAAAAACGCAAACAGCCAGAGGTAGAGCGTATAGTATGTCTCTCATTCGGGGATACTCCTCACCAGGTGGTGGGCGCTCCAGGTCCGCCCATGTAACATTTTGGGGAAGCCAAAAGCTCTCACTCCAAATCCAGTCTAAAATAGAGGAAGTCATCGGGGAGCAGGAAAATACTCGAGATCAAACAAATAAGGTGAATCAACCGTGAAACCGTGAAAGTTACTTGTTGAACATCTGGCGGCTTAGGATATTTAAACTGAAACCCTCTGCGGTGATGTTTCCTCCTCCTCTCCCCCTGCTGTTTGCACCAAGAATAGAGTATCACTTCTGGTTTGTGAGTCAAACTGAACGGACCGCTCGCCTCACAAACGTAAGAAAGGGCAACACCCACCTCACTGATTAGGCAACTTTCAGTGATATTTTCTAACTTGTAGGCCGAACACTGTTTTATAGGTTGTAGCCTTTGAGACTGCCTCTTCAGCATTATATTGTGTCTATAAAAAATAGGGCTTTGATAGGGATTTAAAGGCAAGCTAACTACCATAAGCTAGTATCAACTGAAACCTAGCCAATTTGCAGATGACGTCATTCATTAATTTAGGCTAAATTAGCATCATAGCCAATTAACAACAACAAAACCAGATTTTCGAGTTGTTTGGTTTTGAGTTACGACACTTTATTCTTTTTATAATGTTTTATGACTCACTCAACTCTGTGACCTGATATTTAGTAGGTTAATAATTAAAACCAGCTTTTAAAGTAACTAGCTAACAAGCTATCAGTTAGCTACACCACATCCTTAGGGTAACGTGTTGTAACGTTTTATCTAAGATAGCTACGTTAAAGTAGCCTACTTGTCTGATTAGGTATCTCTCTAATTTTAGGATTTTATATAATGCCAAGCTATTCATTTTTTATTTAATTGATTCCAGTGCAAAAGCGATGATGCCATTCAAATGAAAGGAAATGTGAAAATAAAATGGATGAAATTAACAGTTAATATCCCTATTTACCTGACTAGAAAAATACTAAAGCTTTTAAAACACTTCTAAGTGTATGGAAGATGTACTAGTCTAATATGGGTCAATTTAGGTTGGGTAACAACACTTTTCAATTTAATATATTCTCTTTCTGCAGAAATATTTTCCAAGCCAGCCATTTATCTTGCAAAAATATACACCCAGTTTAACCTTGCTGAAGCTATTGCAGTCCAAGCAAAGGACATCGAATACTGTCAAGGTTATAATAATCCTAAAAAATATCATTAGTTCAATTAAAACCTCTCTTAGAAAAGTTTCAATAACCTAAACATTAAAACCTTCATGAAGGCACAATCATTTGTATAACCTTGGTTTTAGACGGTAGTAGTTTGAGCTAGGTGAACCTGACAAAGTACAACTAAAGTGTAGTTAGATCTTAATGTTACTTCCATTCAATAAAACTATTAAATGCCTTTTACATATATATATATATTATGCAACATCAAATTCAGTTTTATTGCTGAGGCAAAAAGCAGTTTCAGTCCAGGCTGCTATTAAATGTGAGGATAACGGGAGTATGGAGTTTGGCATTTATGAATGTTTTAAGCAAGCCCTCAGAGAGCTGCAGCCACTTTAGATCATCGTGATGATGATATGAGATACCAAACATTTTCTCAGTCATAGAGCAGTTTTGTTTGCAGACCTTCCACCTATAAAACCAGTGTGTGTGGCTTTACCCTTCACCTGTCTGTCTAGAAAACACTTAACACTTAACAATTGCCTGCTCTATAAGAGTCTTAATCCACTTAACTGAAGATTCGCTGGCTAGTGTTCTCTTGTGAGAATCACCCTTGTGGGATGCGGATACCCAGTTTGTAGAGATTATAAACATCCTTAAACCAGAGTTAAAAGTTAGAATGGTTGATTATTGACCGAAAACATGTCAATGATTTGCAGCTTTATATCATAAACCTTTACTTCATTACTAGCTTGCCCGGCCAACCAAGGTTGAGTTCCCTTGGGCACAACAAACATTTTTGATGGATTCACAGCTTTTTACAAACCGGGCTTGGAATGTGTCTGTGTCCTTCTCACTGTTGTGTAGCTGCAAACTGATATCTTCAGACTATAGGGACAGCTTGTCAGTTTCTTCGTTAAACTTGAAGGGTGTTTTTTGTTGTGGGTCTTTAATTTACTGTTGGTTGCCAGGATGACAGTGGACTCCTAGTCCTAACACAGGTAACACTTGTTGGGCGCAGCATGCTATTATCTGCATTGATATGCATGTCCGGAAATCAATTGAAACAAGAGCTGTTCATACTTGCTCCACTTAGCCTGCGGCATTAGTGTCACAATGATGACTAATAATATTACCATCTACAATAAGGAATTGTACTGCCTTAAATAGGAAGGTAGACTGAAGTTAAAACATCTTGAATAATGTGAATGTCCCCTAAACCATGACATGCCCCTCCATTTTAAAATCTGAATTACATCCTTTATGTCTGTGTGCCTTTGTACATTATTTAAGGAATTGCTGATGAAAAAGTAATATCATGCTATTTAATTTAGACCACTGCTTTCTTTCTATAACTGGAATTTGCCTCGGCCTCACAAACTATTCAAAGCACTCTAAAGAGGCGAACAAAGGTATTTTTTTGTCCAATTAGCATAACAATACACAGTTTGTTTGTGTGATAGACACAGCACAGCTTCCCTGCTCGGGATTAAACTAAGATCCAACCCTTAAGGCAAATCATTTATTAATTTTAAAGTGCCTACAGCGTGGCAAAAAATATGAGAGGCTGCAGCACATACGTGACACACACTGCCTTTGTTTATTCTGTGTCATCCTGTAGATTTTTACATCAGTACCAACTGGTCAGAGAGCAGCACGGCTCCCTGAACAAACCCTCTCTGTGTCACTATGCAGCTGCAGCTTCCGACATGCTCTACTCGGATGCATGACCTAGTCGGAGGGGCTTAGGGAATGTACAAAATAGGGGGGTCATTTTTTTGATGACATTCATCTGACTTACCTCGAGTCTAGCTTTGCAACCAAACTTGAAGTATGTGTTCAGCTATATCAACCCTTCCTTAGTCTTTACTGGCTTGAATCTAACAATAGCAGAGAGATCTGGTTCACAGCGTCTGTAATCCCCCCAGTGTCCCCCCCCCCCCCCCCCCCTCACTGCGTGGACTGGTCCATTTCGCATCTGAAAAAAAATCTGATAGTTGGAGGAGAGTTCTTCATGTCAGGGACTGCTGTAAACCTCAGAACAGAGTACTGTAGCTCCTAGATCACCGAAGGTAACATTTCCTCCTATGTTTTTTTTATTGCTAAACCTTTTATTATTAAGTGACCTATTTCTCAAAGAAAATGTCTCAGCAGTTTTTCCACTGCATCTTTTAAAATGACTTGTTTTGTGTTCATAGATGAGCATGCACTTTTGTGTTTACTTTCTTATAAGACCATTGTTAACCATAATAACAGCACCCATAGTGTAATTATTATCAAGTTTCTTCTGTATTTGATTTGGCACCATAACATCTTGATTTAGTGAGATACATCTATTTGTTTGTTTACCTCTTATACTTTTTCTTTACAGATAAGCAAATGGATGCGAAAGAGCTGAGTGATCCCATGAATAACGTGTCGCTGATTAAAGGTAACCCAATTTTATTATTTTGTGACTTGACAGTTTTGCTTTTCGAATGGCTCTTACCAGTAACTGCACATCTTACTAAGTGGCAATGTGAAGAGAGAAAAAAGCATGAGTCACCGGTAAACAGAGTGGCTGAGCCTCTCAGGGCCGTTGTTTGGCTTTAGAGCTGACATTGCTGTAGATGGCCTTGTTTTAGAGGCTGATTTCTCCAGTGTCAACAGCTTATTAGAAGATGGAGTCTCTTTACACAGAGGGCACATTATCCCCCTGTGTGATAATGTGCGTGTATTAGAATGCAGTGATTGCTATACATAGAACATTAAAAACATACAAATCAACAGGGATCTTCCTGAGAAAATGTGCAAGCATTTTTGTCAGCAAATCAATCTTGCATGAATTGATTTGTCATGCTACACTGCACGGTTTAGTGTACAGGCAGCACAAAGCAAACAGTGTCCTCACAACAAGATGATCTCTGTCTTTTCAAAAATGATACTGATATTTCAAATAAAAAGAACATTTTGTAACTAAATTGATATCACACCTGTCAGTTTGATAAGCAGTTTTGTAGAGATTTGCTGAATACTGTTGACATTCAATGCGAGCATCGCTAATGCTTATTTTCAGTTTTAGTACGCTGTCACATGCATTGAGAAGGAAACTGGCAGTGGGGGAAAGATAGACCATGATGGCTTTAGCCTTCAGCACTTGAGCTAAAAAAAGACTTTTCCTAAAAGAAATGTTCCCCTGTCGTCACTTGAGGCAGTGTGATGCTCAATATCCCCCAACTAGTCACAGTGGTATTTTTACACACAGGCTAATCCCATTATGACTCTGTCAGGTGTCACTCTGTAATAACTAATGATACTGAAGGTAATACTTTGGGCGCCCTCTCTTAATCTCATGCTCTCCAGACAACATTCATCTTTCACAGAAACTGGAAAAAACCTACGTACAGGAAGCCCACTCACATTCTCACTCATACATATACATGCATGAGGGAACACACAACCTCATACACACATGCTGGACGGAGCACTGCCCGCCCATCCTTTGTCTGCACACAGCAGGGTGGTGGTCATGTGCCCGAGTCAGAGGGGGTCACCAGCCTCCAGCAGTCGCTTTATTGCCATTCATTTTAGGGACATTTATCAATGAAATCTGGGAGCACTTTTAAAAATATGTGTGTGTATATGAACAGTACTTGTGTGACAGCCTTGCGTGACAGAACAAGTGAAATCACAACAAATAAGCATTTCATGACAGCCTCAGTCCAGCTATGTGTCCATTTATGGTGCACATGCTTGACCTGTCATGAATCTTGTTTTAGCTTCTGCCAAATGTTCGGCCTGGGATGAGGTCATCTCTTTTCCGAGCCATGGTAGATTAGGGGATTGAGATATTCACTGGGAATTGCCAAGCACAAGTATTTGGAGTTTGTTTTCCACCTCTAGGAAACACAACAGACCCTTGACAACGTTGGCTAGTCTATTCCCTTTGTGTATTGTTTACAGTAACAAGCTGTTAACAAGCAATGAGGTGCCAGAGATGTGTTTTTTTTGACCAGATAATGGACAGTTAGGAATGAAAGCTTGGATTAGAAAAATACAGATAATGCAGCTGTGTCTATTTCTGGGTTAGCAATTAGTTTATATAATAGTCCCATTTAATATCTTGGGAAATCATCTAGTATGTCAGCCCTGGTTAAATATGATAAAAGTGAGTGAGCTTCTATTTTTATAGTCAATTGCCATCATTTCTGCCTGATTGTCATCATGTTTCAACATTTGTTTTCTAATGACTGTCAACGGCTCCAGTGACTCTGCAGGAAAATAATAAGCTTTAACCTCACAGCTAGATACTTAAATGTAAGAGAGAAAGTATCTTCTAATCTGAGTAATCATTTCTGTTCTGTATTTCACAATCAGATAACTTGACCAAGTCAAACATGGGATCCTCGGGTGACTCAGAGGAAGTTATCCAGCGCTTGAAAGATGAACTTCGTGAAGCCCAGGAGCAAGCCAATACTGAGAAACACAAATTTATGGAGCTGGAAGGTACGAATACACACCATTTCCTTCACTTTATGCTGTTCACACACAAAAACCATAAATGAAATCTTTTTGTGTAGGTGTCCTGCAGGAAGAGAAAAAGGGAAATAAGCACCAAGCTGATGAATCTGCCAAACAGATCAAACTTCTTCAAGGTACATCTTTGTGTCTGTTGATAGAACATTTGGTATTTTCTCATAGAAAATGTCAACATTATTTATTTAAACACCAACCATTGTTCCGACAGGCCAGCTGCGGCAGCTCCAAGATGAAACGAGCACCCTCAGAGGGCAGATGGATGTCTCCTCCGGTTCACGCGACGAGTTACTAAGTGCCCGTGATGAGGTGAAGGAGCTGAAACGTGCCCTGGAGGCAGCCGCTGCTGAGCGCCATCGTGACGTAGCAGCTATCCAGACTAACCTGGCAACCGTCTCCAAGGATCTCGATAAATGGCGCCAGACCGCCAACAAATATGAGCATGAAATTGACAACCTACAGCGTGACCTTCAACAGCAGGGCAAGCAGTGGCAGAAAACTGCAGAAATTCAAGGTACTACAGGGTCTATACACAGAGTGATACAAAATATGATGAGAATATCCATACAAAAGGAAAATAGATGTGTCTGATGCACTAATGACCTAGAAAAAGAGCCTTTTTGTTTAAAACATAAAGAGACTCAAATGAACACACACTGCTAACGTGATTGTAAGCTAATTAAGAAAAGGGCATCTGCTCAAAGCATCTTACATAAAACATTTTATTTTCATAGCCGGCGAGCTGCAGTCCATGCAGGCAGAGTGTAATGGCCTTCAGAAGGAGTGTGCAATGCTGCGATCTGAAAAACAAGAAACCGTGAATAAGCACCAGAAGGAAAGGAGCAGTCTGCAAAGTGAGTGTGCTTCCCTCAGGACTGAGAGGGAGGAACTCCTCAACTCTCACCAGAAAGACAAGGCGAACCTGCAGAGTGAATGTGCACTGCTGCGCTCTGAGAAAGAGGCGGGGCTGCAGAGACAGCAGCAGCTGGAGAAGGACCTTGCCAGGTCAGTGCACTGAGCTACGTCACCTAGAGACCAACTTCACCCCCACCTTTGTGTTCCCTCTGTCTCATGTGCTTGGCTCTGTTTCAGTAGGTTTTACTTGACAGTATACCGTATGCTTTGTATGATCCCTCACCTATTAAACTCAGTGTTTTCTGGTAGCTCGGGTGCCCAGAATGCTGAGCTGAGCGACAGCCTCAAAGCCCTGGAGAGATCCCAGCAGGAGTTAGAGAAAAGGCTGGTGGCCCTGCAGCTCCAGCACCAGCAGGACAGCACCAAGCTGCAAACCCAACTGGAGGAGGCAGACAGCCAGAGCAAGGCTCTGCAGAGAGAGGTACATTCTCCAAACCACAACCAAAGGGTCAAGCATCTCAAAGTCATGTAGAATCACCTTAAGGGTAAAAAAAACCTCTGCCCTCAAACCTGATTGTTAAACATTGTCTACATTTGTTGCCATCCAGTCAGTTTTCACTCATGTGACTGAGACAGAAATAGATCCATTGTAACCAGTGCAGCTGTCTACATTGTCTGCAATGTGTCCAAAGGTTTCGAGTCTATTTTCTACCATTTAAACATATAAACAAACATGTATTGTCCCATGAGATATGTCAAAACTGTTCTGAGTGCAGAGCAGCTCTGCCGCTGTTCTTGAGATGTTGCTTTAGAAACTTAATATTTACAAGGTGATACAGTATTTATCTAACTTCTTGCATGCACACTGAACAAGGACTTAAAGGTATCCTTTAAAGGCTAATCAAATCCAACTTTTATGACACACAGAACCATAAAATTAAATTAAAAAATCAAGGATAAAGAGTGCATAACCAGTATGTCTTGATACACAGGCATCCATCCATCAAATGTAGGATATGCCACCTTTTTATATGGACATCTAATCTTCATTGGTGGTAAATGTAGGTTATTAAAACATTACTCAGTGTGTGCTTTATAACCAAGAAAGCTAGGTTTCCCCTCAGGGTCACCCAGCTCAGGGGCCTCATGTATAACGCCGTGCATAGGATTGACGTGGGAAGGTTGCTTACGTAGTAGAAATCCGAAAAATAGGTCCATACATTTTCCGCCACTTTCCGATTCACCAAACATTGCGTACCGGCGAGGAAAGTGCGTATGGCACTTCCTACGCCTGTTTCCCTTTTTATAAATCACAACCAACTCGAAATGCGGTGCAGCTTTTGCGGGCTTCACGTAACGCCCATGTTTGCCTATAAATGGTCAAAGAAACGCCCTTTCATTCATTCATTTTGACTGACTTTATGGAGAAGATCGCAGGAAATGGCGACAGCTAAAAAAAACATCTCACACCGTGTCAGATTTTGATTATTTTGGGGAGGTCGAGATAAATCATATTGTTTGGTGGATGCAGTTTGAACCAGCGTAGCAGCATGGAGGTCGGATCGTCACCAAAATAAATAAATAAATGGTCCGAAAAAGGTTAATAACAAAAATAACACACATAGCCTTCCTCAGGCAGTGTGTTTGTACTGGGGACAGGAGACCCCCCCTTGATGAGAAACTGTAAGAAATGATCGGGGAATCCCTCCGGAGTGGAGTCATGACGACTGGATCTGAATTATGTTTTTGTATTTGGTGGTTTGTGTTCCAGCTTTTGATCAGCAACTATATATCCATAATCCACCAGTTAAAGGAAATACAACGAATGTGTT